CATATTGTTTCTTTGTTGTCAGTGAATCATAATTATACAGCACATTTGCGTGACCCATTGAAATTGGCAGTGACCGTGAGGCGGAGAAGCGGCAAACTTTAAGCTGCAAACTTGAATTTCTTAACATTTATTCACGCCTTCGATGTATCCGTCTTATCTTGTTGATGTTACTTGTCATTAGTGGTCGGATTTGAATTGATGAAGAAGATTTGAAGTGATACTTGAAGCATGTATGATTGCTCGATTGTTTACTGAATCATTCAACCCACTGGTGCTTTGAAGAAATGCAAAACAAAACTGCTCACGATTGCAGTGTCCAGACAAGAGCTTTGGTTTCATTATTTATGGCTTTGAGGGTTTGCAATTTATCGTCTATTTCATAAGGCAATTGCTTAAGGTTTCATTTGTTTTGCAGCAAATTCCTCCGAATTCTTAATGTCACAGTCGATCATTCTAATGAAAGCAAAAACCGTTTGTTGGTTGTTTTCATCAACGTTCTATTTGATCTGAAGCACCAGTGTAACTGCTAATTTTGGCCTCCCAACTTGATCACCTGTCCGATCAAATTAATCTTCTATTGATCTTCCGATCTTCGATATTCCTCCAACAAATTTCGTTCTTAGATTTCGAGGTTTGTTGCACAAATAGTTAACAATCGTGGCCTTCGAAAACGATTCAAGAGCCAAAGTTGAGGTGCTACTTAAAGGCCTCTCAACAGGAGCTAGTCAATAGAGCTGATGCATTTTCGTTCTTGTTATGCTTATAATTATTATTATCGTCATTATTAATAATCTTAATATTTTTATTGTTAATACGGTTGTTATTATTTCTCGCTTATAATTATTATTAATGGACTTATTATTATTGTTATTGTGTTGATATTATTATTAATTTTATTAGTGTCATGATTACTCTAATCTTTATTATCATCAATATCAATTTGGTTGATGTTATACATTTTCATCAACGGACGCGCTGCTTCCATTCATCAGATTCTTTCGATTGAGCTTATATGGTAACTATTTGTTGTAAAACAGAGCATTCTTTGAATTCGATGTAACCACAAAACATNACTTGTATATGCGAAATCGCATCCTCAGTTTTTCTCCGATAAGTGGCCGGAGTCACGTAACCTTATATCTCTTTAACAAAAAACAAGGTCTAGCTCAGAATCAGTTTCAATACGTTCGTCAGTGTAGAGGAAACAGAACCGCCCCGTCATTAAGGCAACAACCTTATGGCATTTGCGAATGAAAAAAATATTGGTTAAATTGAATTCGTGTTGAATTTCTCACCCTTGCTGGGGTCAAAAAGCGACAAATCAAATCTTGAAATAATGAGGTGACTACGAGAGAGTGAATTGTCGTTGTTGAAGATCTGCGAATCCGTTTATATGAATGATATGCTTATCGAATTTCTCGATTAATCGAATCAGAACGTTTCCGCAAATTTCGTCTGGCATATTTGTAGCAAATAAGCGCATGTTTTCGTGCTTATTTGCATCTGTTGGTGTATGTGACGATGTAACATAAAAATTAATGCACGTTTTCGCTGATTATGACTCACATAAAGCTGTATGTTAATGCAAGCGTTTGTTTGTGGAAATGGATGATTTGTGCGCTTATTTAGTGCTGAAAGCTAGAGGAATTGACAATGAAATGGCATAGGATGATGGATGCTCCTTGTCCCATTTATCTTGTTCGCTTGTATCATTTTGAATGTGGAGGGATGAACAAAGTAATGAAATGAATGTGTTTTGAGCAATGTAACAATCAAGTCCACGCATAGGTAGACTGAATCCTCGCGGTTGTCATAGCTGCCTTCTTCATCAAATCTTATCATTTTACTGAACATCTTTTGAAAAAAATCTTCTGAGCAACAACTTAGATCATATAATTAATTGCTCAACGAAACTATCGCAAACGTAACACCACTGATACGGTAGATTCTGGAAATTTTCGAACAATTTTCATCATCCAATACCTTTTTGCTTATTATTTCAATAAACGGTTCAGTTTTCCTATCTGCTCACAATATTTTATTTCCATGTTTACTTTTGATTATTTCGAGTTTAACATGTTGTGTTCTACGTCTCAGCGAAATGTCATTTGTAGTCGCTCTCAAGATAGGATTGAGGCAAAAATTTAAATGAATAATTCGGAGTTAGAGGGAAGATTTTGAAAGCAACAATAGAAGAGAGACTGGAGCGAACTATCAAATCTCGATGGCAAAAAATGCTCATCACCATGATGATTTTAAGTTGCTCAAACAATGTTAGATGCGCTGTGTTCGAATAACAATAGCAAGTGAACAGCTGAATATGAAATCCATTGTACTGCTACTGCAATCGTCGTCGCAGCAAATCACATGATTCTAGAATGAATCGATTTTTCATTTATTCATTTTTTGACATTTGAAATGTTCCAGTGTCTGAGCTTGTTTCGTCGTTGTTTTATTTGAGATTTCATTTGCACTCCTATCGCAAGATATTGTCGCAGAACTACTTATTCGTCGTGGTACCACGAGCGTTCGTTTGACTATGTGACAATTCGAAAATCACTATCGTATCATTCGATGGAATTTTCTCTTCCAGGATCAACGTTCAGTTCCTCCTGTTTTCTCGAAGAAGCGTATTTTTGTGAGGATCTGATGGCAGCGAACGAGAGGCTGAGATTGTTATGAAGAAACCAACGAGAATAGCAGTAACAGAAGTGCTATTGCTGTTCATAGCTTTTTCCAGCACTTTTCAGGTAAATCAGGTTTTGACATTTTGATTTCGGATTCATATTATCAAATATCATCAACTACCGGAAATGTAGCATTTCAAGTTCATTAAACGATAATCACAGGGTTGAGCAATGTTGTTGGATCTTGCAAATATTTCAGTTGATGGAAGCGAAGTATCGCGGTTAATGATTACATTTCTTTGACGTTGCCAAGCTTCAACTATTCGTGCTTGTCAGTATAATTTATGAATGAATGAAAAACTCAAGAGGAATCCAACAGACATTGTAAAGCAAGCTTGCGCAAAAAAAGCAAGCAACCGCATTGAGCGAATCCCGGTGGAACGATTACAATTTGCAAGAACGCGTTTGGCCTGCAATTTTGGTTGTGTTTTTGACAGAACTGGGATTTGAGTCGAGGAGAGAGTATAAATTTTTCGCTAACGTCGAAAAGAAGTGGACGATTAAGGAAAAAGTTACTGCAAAAAAGTTCAAATTTCATATAAATGGTCAAGTTGAACTTTTTGCTGGAGTCAGTGTTTTCATTTCACTGAAAATGTTTGAATTTAGTGACAAGTTATCATGCGATTTGTCTCAAAGATGGCATTTTTTTATTGACCAGAGGGAGAGATGATTATGAACCGACTTTTTCTTGACATATTTTGAGACCAATCAGTTCCAGCTAAGCGTCTCAATAAGGTTTCACTACCTGGATTACCTGGATTGGCCAGACTATCAAACGTTTATAACGTTGTTGGCCACAATGCTCGCGTTTCCGTTCGCACTGTTTTAGCCTTGATTGACGCCACCCCGCTGGCTAGGCGAGCAGGCCAAGTGAGCACAATCGAATATTTAATTAGTTACCATGAATACTTTACACAATTAAACGTAGCCGAATACCAGTCCGATTAACAATCATAAGTCTACAAAATAAACATTCCGCCGATCGCTAACAGCAATCAACAAAACAACCCCTCGATGTGTAAGTAACAAGTAATAATCAAGGTTTCACTGAAGGGAAAGGTTTCACTATTGGGACCAAATTCAAACGTAAGGAAAAAGCAGTGGGTCGTGGAATTTTTCCGCAGATGCAAACAGTATTTGGTAATCCGAATGAATGGTTCATCAATACAGTCGAAAATGCAGCCAGCACAATGGATGATATATATCAGCTGAATGAATTTACGCCGCGGTTAATTGACGACTGCGTTGGCAATGTAGAAATTCCGACGCAAGCGGAATCCTTGAAATGAGTTAAATGACGAAGTAAAGGAGCAGGAAAACTGATGAGAAAAGAGAAAAACTTTGACCCCGACGTGATTCGAACACGCAACCTTCTGATCTGGAGTCAGACGCGCTACCGTTGCGCCACGGAGTCATATATAACTTCCATTTATTTATTCCATCAACAATACATTGACGGATGGATATGCTGTCATTTAATCTTTGATACTATTAACTTGACTGTATTTCAGGTGGTGTGCTCCTTACAGGATAAGTCAACTCCACACAGTATATCCCTGCATCAAGGATGGGCAAAATGGTCCGAATGGAGTGCATGCTCCGTTTCTGTGAGTTTGTTTTTCAGTTAGTTTTCATTCAGTGACGGATGGTCCATATTTTGCTCTGAATTAACCACTCTTCCCAGAGTGATTGTTCCATTTCCTGCTCAGCAAAATCTTCCTACCGCTTAGAAGTTGAGCAATTCTTCTTCAAGAGAATATGACCAGTTTAGTAGTCACAAAATTTCTTCAGCATCACTTGATGTTATCATTCCTTTCGTGTTCTGTGATCGACATTGTTGGCTGAAATATGCAGCAATGTTGACTATAAGAAGGATAAAAGAATTCCATAATCGCTTTCGAGAACAAATATTCTCAGTAATAAAATGAGATCAACAAGATGGAATAATTATTTCGCATCAAAAGTTATCAACAATGAAACACATTCACAATTCATGAGTGCATTGCAGTCAAACGTTAATGAAATATTGCCGTATGCAGTCAATAACTCTTTGTCAGAAATTGATGCATCAGAAATGAAGAGATTTTTAAATGAGACAATATAGGAGATAATGCATGAGATCGATCATGCCGTGATGTTCACTCCAAGTAGACATCTTTGATTTTACCTTGCATATGTTGAGTGAAATTATCAATTTTTCGATTAGACAACAGAAGATGAAATTAAAAAACAGCATGGAAGCATATGTTTGTCAGTAACGCTAGGAGTGTTGAACGATTTTGCTGAAACGAGCGATCCAAATGATAGAAATGTATGATATTGCAGTGTGGCGGTGGCATATCACATCAACTTCGCCGATGTCTCGATGTTAGATGTGTTGGACCGTCGCATCGGGAGCGGGTTTGTGCCACTGAGGTGAATGCCGACAAATTATGCTGGAATTATTCTAGGATCATATCACTACAAATAACGCAAATAATCAGATTTCCGTTTTTGCACAATAGAATGGCTAACGCAATCAAACGCAAACATTTTTTTAATCAAACAAATGACTGTTTTGAACAACTGCTTTAATGCGCCAGTTTTGATTGTAACTTATCCGTTCAGCATTGTTAAACAGGATTCTTCTCGACCCTTCTTGATTTGTTCGATAAGTTATAGCCATGTGAAAAAGGTGCGATCTATCCTCGTGAAACACAATGCTCTAAACTAGACGGCTATGTACTAATCAACGGCGAACGAAGGGCCGAAAGGTGGTTTCCAGTTCGTGGAAATCAACAGGTGAGCTGGTGAAATCGCCTGAACATGTGCAGACAATAAGTAAAGCACACAATGAATGCAAATGAAGTCGTTCACGTGTTGCAAACTCAAACTGATCCATGATGATGATCACAGAGCTAAACTTGATAGTTCCATGTTGGGTGAATCAATAAGATTTCTCGGTTTTTCTAATTCCAATGATTTTTTCCATATCGTTGACTGCCTGGAAAAACGTCGATTAAATGAAGTGATAAAATGAACTTCAGTGTTTGGTGACGTGTAGCTCATTGGAAACTGGTAGGGAGCGTGTACTGAGAAAACTGAACGATGGTACTTCGTGCATAAAAGAAGGCTACAACATATCTGTATGTTTGAATGGAACATGCCAAGTAGGTGTCATAACCAATGATTTCACAAACAATCGTCGTTTCATCGTCGATTCACCGTGATAAATCCCACTGTTTCCACTATTCACATGCTCCACCAATATCACCACTGATCGTTTTCCCAGTGATCCTCTATGAAACAATTAGGTGACCAGGCGAAACTGTTGCCCAAATGTGGATTTAAATCTTATTCATTGCGAACCAATGATTTGAAATGATTTTCAAAAAATTGAGCATGTTGGGTGTGATGGTATCATTGGATCAAGCGCACGTTTCGATCACTGTGGTATTTGCGGAGGTGACGGTAGCTCATGTGCAAAAACAATCTTCAAGTGGAAAGATACCAAGCAGTTCTCTCCTTGTGATGCAACCTGTGGACCAAACAGTTAATACAAAATTCAGCTCATCAATCTTTAAATTTACATTCATGAAGGCATAATTTACGTACCGTTAGCCACTCTCCTCGAAATCAGCAAATCTAATTTTTTGAGGGGTTAAATTTGAAGTTATACAAATCTAAAGTTTCTCAGATCTGCCAACTGAAAATGATCTAAACCATCAGAACAATACCAAACAATGTACACCTGTCCATGAATTGATCACTCGGAAGATAAAAAGCCATAGTTCGGGTTGTTCGGGCTGACTTAAATGTCGAATGGTATTTAATGTAACGGGCTGTTGGGATTTAGGATGTGTCATGTTCAAGACTGAGCAGTTTCATTGTAATTTTTGCTATTCGGATGGAGAGTCTTTCAGTTTATATGAGTAGAATGTCTCACCCACAATTCGCTTATGAACACATGTTCAAGGAGCACAGAGCAAGAGAAGTTTGTCATGATTTCAAAACATTCAGGTTTCCGAGTGTCTGTATCAGTATGCCAGAACGTCAGGACAGGCCGAGTGGTACCAGAGCGTTTGTGTGCCGATCAACCCCGTCCTAGACCCATGGTCGAGCGGTGTGCACATATCATTTGCCCTTCGCAGTAAGTTAACTGCTATTCTTTTGAATTATCCAACTAATTGAGTTCCGAAAATACTTTTTGACGGGACACCAATCTGATCGTTGAACAATTCTGTTTCTTGACAAATTATGGATTCATCGTTGAGCAGAAGTTATTTTTAGATAAATTGATATGTCTACACACTCTTCATTATACATTTTGAAGCAATCAGTTCTCACATAAAATAAAATACTATGATATATATAGCGTCCACTGAGAAACAAGGATAAAATATTGCACGGCAGTGGTTGATAATTATTTTCAAATTGGATTCTATGGAATCCAATTCGCGATTTCACGATTTTACGATTCAAAAATTGCCGTTGGCCGTTTGAAAGCATCAAAAAACGATTTTCGTATGATTCGAATGCATGAATTGCTTTACCTCAAAGGCCTCAAAATTTTACCTTCTATGATCGGGATGCGCTCAGTATAGTCTTAAAGTTTTCACTGATGCCAGTTTCTTGTATCAACTATCTTGATCACTACAACGTTCTATGAGGGTAATATCTTGATGCATTCCAAGTTCCTTAAATCCCTATTGCTTTAGAAATGACGGAGAAGAAACGGCGTGATGTAACAGATTTGTCAAAATTAATCATGCGTTCCTTCATACCATAATGTTCATATTTCTTTGCAAAGTGCACAGAGTGTTGACCTCTTGTGAAGATTCGATGCGTTTCGGTTGTTTAATTGAACATATTTGTGGAGGATAATAGGCAAAGAACGAGGACGAACAAAGAGCGATTACTGCATTCAGCGGGCAGTGATAATCCATTAGAAATAATGCGTTAATTGGTAGTTACTACTCAAAGAAATGCATGTCATATTTCTCGCAAAATTAGTCCTATAATTTCATGCTCCGTTTCGCATTTCACTACACAGCCATGTTACGACTGCAAACCTCGAATACTCGAAAAACAACACGCAATAATATTCGTTTAAAATAGCAAATCAAAATCGTCAATTCCATAGCCGATAAGAAATTGCTTCGTTGAGTCATGGAAGGTAGGAAGAGAAGCGAATTTGGGGACTGCATGAATATCGGAGTGTTATTAAGATCGGTAACGTTAATTCGTGCTGTTTTAGGAGACTGTGATTTGTTTCTTATTGTTACTGATAGAATTGCTTGGGAATATGAGCACATTGATCTGATATAAGTAAGCGTCATGTATTTGAATGGATATTTCAAAATGTAGCAATTTGAGATTCCATGAATGAAGATCGAAGGCGTTCCGTAAATCCTTTTGCCTCATGAGACATTCACTGAATAATTGAATTTGATCTAGCCTATTAATTATGAAACATACGAAGAGATCCGTGATTGTCATAAATATATATTTGGTTTGCTCGGATGGTTGGAGTGGAAATATGACATGAATTTTGATGTTAAACATCATAATTATTGCAAATCATTGCGATGCATTCCAGCGAGCTTTGATTTGCGTGAAACTTCAATTGAGAACTCAAATGAAAATAAATGATCACACATTACGTTTGTTAAATCCAAATTTTTGATTATTCCAGCAATGTCAAATTGTAAAATCAGTATCCTTTCTGATATTCTGCATGTAGTTTAGCGAATATTTCGAGATCTAACTGACCACCATCCACTCAACGAATACAAAAATACATTGATCAGTGCAAAGATCACGCAGATTCAACAATTGCTTATGCATACTATTGCACTACTAATCTTTATATATTCATTGTAAAGCTCGAGATGAATCACATCAACTGAATTTTTACGATCAATACGATCAATCAGTTATCAGTTCTGTCTCCAATGGATGATTTTTGTCCCACGGAGAACAGTTCCACGGTAAGCTATGAAAATATCGAACTATCCATCTCAGGAAAATCACCCAAATCATATCTATCGCTCTATCGCTTTTCCTATGGGGTCATTCATCACCATCAATCTGCTCTCTTTTTTTTTGAAAGATTCGAATTTGTCTCCTTCACCTTTGAACTGTCTTAGCGGTTAACAGCAAAAAAGATTTCGTCATTAATCATCGGGTCAATTCATATTCTCGATGGGATTCTTTGTATGAGATGTTAGGCGATTCTGAATTTCATCTCTCTACGGACAATGTTATTGTCTCTCAGTGTCTTCTTCTCGATTGCAAGGAGCATTTGAATAACGATGAAAAGATGTTCATCATTTATCAAAATCATTCTCTATCATGAGAAAATGTTGAAACAGCAAAACAACCGAAACAAATGAACTGAAAAGTTAGTTTCAAGAAAACTAGATATTTTATTGAACTTGTCAAATGCTCTCCTTACGAGGATATCGATGAAAGAGGCTCTCTCATGAAAGACACTGATTCGTATGCTCTTCGAATTGCTGGAAAACCACAGCTAGAGAGTGCATCAAAATTTGAATTATAATCATGTATCATCCAAACATTGATCACTATTTTTCTATGTGTGCTGCAGTTGTTACTCGACTGGCTTGTTGAAGCCCAAGCCAGCATTGTTTTGCTTGTTCAATGCATTCCACACTCCAGGGATTCATCACATTATCTCTTTATTATCATCGTTTGCTGATTCGTTGATTTGTTTGTCTTCTTCTTGTTCGATCGGTCGCACGCAGTTGGGCATTGGGCATTCAGTCGTTCCAATATTCAGTCAATTCAGACCGTGAATGAACAATGAAAAGATAACTATGGGTATCATAGATTTATGAAATCAGCAACGATTCGTATTTTGTGGTATCGTGGGACCGGTTCTCTAACCAACTCACCGAATCTACCTCCTCTTCGATGCAGAATGTAATTCACAATCGCACATTTCGCTTTCTTAGCCATTCTATCGCCGACACTTTTTGCAGCCTTCATTTGAAACAACACAACTGAGCAGCAATTCATCAATCACCAAGCAATCATGAATGCTTTCGTTTTTGTGTCAGACACAATTGCATAAATTCAAAGACAATTGCAAATGCAATTTATTGAGTTGAAGCATGACGATTCATCACTTGTAATGTTCATGCTTGATTCAGATAACATTCCACATATCTCAGCAAGATTTTCAAAATGTTCTGCGGGACGATTTTAAAATTTAATTCGGTTCCGATGAGTTCTAAAGTCACGTTTACTTTGTGCTTTGTAAGTTCCTCTTCGCAATCAATGAATTTTCTTTCTGATCATATTGGTTCATTAAAGAATTTTGATCGACGATCTTCCTTCGACACTTCCAGATATTCANGATCAGTTGCAATCTGATGGTGTAAGAAGGGAGATCCTGCTTCCAGTATCATAATCGGAATCGATGTACTCTTTCCACAAGTGATTATACTGTTTAATTTATGAGAGTTGACAATGACAGAATATCATAACTATCCTAGAACTGACCCATTTGCTTCAGATTAATGCTTGGCTCTTGAGGCAAATTATTCAACATTGATAACAACTTGTTGATTGACATAAGTGTCAATGTTAGCTCATTATGATCGGAAACGGCAATTATGTCGAGTGTTTATTGGCGTTGGAGATAGTACTCTGAGCCGAACGGCAATGAACTATAGTCAGTTAAGTTGCGCAAGACGAAGTCGTTCTCTTGCTTTGAAACGTTTCCACGAGGTCACAAGTAGTAATGAATAGTGCTGAGCTTAATTTGATAATGGAGAAGCAATATGAACGATCGAAGCAGTTTATCTCAAACATTTATTTCGATAATCGATTAAAAATGATGCACATAAAGATAAATTCAGCTGACCACTAAAAATTGGTGCAGCAAACGGCGATACTGTCTTTTATCGCCATTAAAATAACAATCTCATTCATTCTGATATCCTCAAATTCTCATATCTCATTCATTCTCATATCCTCAAATGACTGATACCTCACTACACATGGGAATCTTGTGAAACATATGAAAGATGGGTATTTCTTCACGTTAAAAACTTTTCGTCATCATTTTCTCATTCAACTTGATCTGATTTGAGATACTGCTCTGTCTTATAATCCGATATAAGTTTATTCATCTGACAACTCATTGCTTTCTTGCACTCTTCATGCATTTCGCTTTGTCGCCACTGCGGGTGCCTTGAGTTTATGAACAACGTTTTTGTGAATTCCAGTGCAATTACAGTGCAGATTAACGCAGCTCCACCCACATTGTGTTTGATGGCCAAACGACTTCTTATTATGAGTTCAGGAAAAGCACATTAACCCGTTATTCAATTTTGATCTTACCGCAGCAACAAGACCATAATTTGGAGGGTTATCCACTGGTATATCATCAAATTGGGTTTGTTATATTGCCTATAAATACGAGTATTTCCTCGAGTGGCTGGTAATAAAACGATACGGCTGAGAGCTTAATCTATGTAAGGTGCACTACTGCTAATACAATGAACTGTTCTGAATGGCTTCTAATAATTATGATCCTGCTCATTATTCCATCGTCAGTTTGCACGATATCAACAATGTAAGTTTTCAATCAACCAAAACACTAACATCTTGCACACTTAACGAACCATTATCTGTTTGACAACATGAGTGTTTTGAAACGAAATGTTTCTCTGCTCGCTTTCGAAATCTCATCTGTCCAAGTCAGTTTGTTTCGTTTGATCTGGTTGATCTCAGCGATCATCACTACTGTCATTGCAACCTTACAAGAGGCTGAATGGCTTTCACTTGGCTATATTCAAGCTGGCAATTATTTCGTGTGATTTTTATATACTTAACAATGAGGAAAAGGTTGGTGATAAAAATGATGAAAAAAAGAAGGAATTTAACAAAATTTACTAATCCATGAAAAATTTTCATTGAACTTTTCAATACTCTTCAGACCGTCGAATACCGTTTCATATGCGTAAGTTGATCGGAAATTTAATTTCGAATTTTCCATTTCATTTGTTATTTTCCTTCGCTTTCGCGATTCGTATCCACTGCAAATTATTATTTTGTTCTTTGTTTATTTTCATATTCCAAATGAATTTGCATCCATTTATAAAATGTGCACAACACTTATTTCAGCTGCAGGTAAATTAACTCATCCGAAAACATGAGTAAGAGAGTAATGAGAGCGTTTCGTAGTTTTTTAGGAGTGATTTTTTTGCAGTGCTATGAAATTTGTTTGCAACCGCATTTTTGCAAAGCTGCAATGTACTCTGATAACAAGTTTGCTGTATGGCACGTTCATCGGACTATCCAATTTCGAACTTTCCTTGAGCATATGTCGATGTTTTTCATCTTAATTTGACAGCAATTTTAGACCAATACTCACGACTACGATTACTGTGAGTCACAAAACGAACATCGTCCTGAGTTCGTATACANTTATTCGTGGCCTCGAAATCCTCGGCATAGCGCTGAAAACATGACATTTGGTCTGGAATCATCAACTTTTTGAAAATTTTCGAAACTAATTCGTCCAAAAAACGGTCTTTTATGCCCGTGCTTACTGCATTTGTGTGTAAGGATGGAAGCGTTTATTCGTTAGAGACTGTTGAATAGTATGCATGATAGTGAAATTTGAAGTGATCAAGTGCACCTAGCTTTCGGCAATCCACATTTTGATCTATGAAAAGTTGCCACTCGAACGAACCCTTTCCAAAGTTATTTCCTCAGTCAGAAAATGGTAAGCAGGATAATTCGATTTTGAAACATTTTTATCATGCTCAGAAATACTTTAATAATTTGATGGGTAGAAACTCTTTGAGGAGAATAAAAAATTTGATGAAGTGTGTTTTGTTTGAGTTGCTTTTGTACTATTGTTGTTTGCGGTTATCTGGTGTTCGAGTTGATATTATGTCATGGCTGCACACCTAAGCTTTCAAGGTGATCTGTAAATTTCATGCGATTTCATGCGTAGCAGTATGCATTGAGGTATTTTTAACCGTTTTAAGCTTGAACGTAAGTCTGAATCGAAACTCGAGGCTGATTCGAGTGAATAAGGCTGTACAGCTACTATTGCATGAGATTTACAAGTTGTCATGCTTATGTTTTGTTATTGTGAGTTCTGCTGTAATAAATGTTTCACTGATTTGTTTGCTGCAAATGATATTCTCTCCGTTCATAAACCACACGGGAACAATTAAGTATATATTTGATCCACCAAATGATCATTAAGAATCTCGTTCGTGTTTGATGAGATGGATCACGCAACATCCTACTGCTGCTCCCGTTGAATAATGAAGTTTTGGAGGCCAAATTAGACGTTGAAACAATTTATGATTGAAGTTTACAGCTCATCTGAGATTAGATTAGTCTGCGTTTACATTGACTCGATTCAGCTAGGGCACGTATGATGAACAGATGAGTCGGTTGGATAATACCGCATAGTATGAATGGAATTAATTCCTGTAGATCAGTTACTATGATTCGATGAATTTTGTAACTGAAAATGAAATGAGTCCTACATCATCATATATGAAAGACTTTTTAAAGTACCTAGTCACGTGCCTAAATCACTTTAAAGAGAGGATTACCGAACTTCAAGAAAGCAGTAAACGTAAGGAGCATTTTTAACGGCAGTAGGGGAATGTTAGGGTGATCGAACGGAGAGAAGAAGACACTTTTGGTAATTATAGTGGTATTATAGCATTCAGTTCCGAGTCATGTCAAACACCGATTCTAAATTGCAGATGGATGACCGGAGAATGGTCCGAATGTACAGTCACGTGTGGTGGTGGACATCAAAAACGATCAGCCTACTGTATCGAAAGACACAACGACTCATCTGGTCTCATCGAAAATACAAAAGTTGCCGATCAATATTGCTGGCAAAGCAAACGACCGGTCTAATCATCACATCTAATATTTTTTGCCTTTTGCTGGCTGACTTCTTTCCCCGTTCATTGCAATTAACATCGAGAAAACGCAAAGAACTGAAGGGCAAAATTAAGAACATTGGCAACTCTATTTAAAAGTGGACGATTGGATATATGAAGGATCAAAAGCTTGAATTACAATTTGTGCAAAAGTCGCGTAAATATCCGAAATTTTCCCTTTGGAAGCAGTTTTATGTAATGCGGTTCTTTGAACGCCTCTTGAGTCTATTCTCATGCAGAGGTTGTTTTGATGCGAGTCTCATTTGAAAAAATACACGGAAGGAATCGAAACCAAATTTGTTCCTTTAAATAAGAATTGCTGGATAATTTATAGGTAACAGTGAGAAAATGTGGTCGACGTGAATGTCCGAAATGGGTCACTGGTGATTGGACAGCATGTTCGGTTACTTGTGGCAAGGGAATTCGCAGTCGTCTGGTGAGTTCCACCTATCAACATAGTCAGTCCTATGTTTTAGAATGATTTTTCCTACCACAACGAAGGTTCATGCAAATTTTTCGATCACAAATAATTCGTTTCCGTTACTTTATCAAGTGTTTTCGTTAAGTATGGGATAATTTTCCATTAATCTACGTCGCATTAAGATTGAATGTCAGCAAGAAGGCGAACGAATCGATCGAACAGTTTGCAATACACTCGAAATTCCTGAACAACAGCAGCCATGTTATGCGGGAGTGAAATGTCCCGAGGACTTCATACCAAGTGGGTATTGTTGAAGTAAAAACATGAGGCTAAATGTCATTAAAGTAGTACAGGTAGCTAGCTACCTGTGCTTCAGTCAGGAGCGATTTTGAGTTAATCTTCAGCTCGTCAACACTACTGAGCCTTCAAGTTCATCAGGGATGTTTCCAGTACGAAGCAGTAAATTTGTGAACATTAGCTGCACATATATCTTTCCATAGTATGCGATCATGCACCACCGCCCTTATTGAGCGTTATCTCATATTTGGACAACGTTTATCACATTAGAAATTATTTCCGTGCAATTGCTCAACAGCGAAAATTTGCATACATCAATCGTAGCTCAGCAGGAGTTCAAATTATCGAATCATTACCACTTAATTTCGTATCAACATTAACAATAAGATGAAATATGACGACTCGTTACGAGAATACTTACGTACGGCACTGATCATGAGGCATATAGCACAACCATGAAACATCTTTGGATATGATCTTTAGTGTCACTTGCAGACCCCTATTGCGATTGGATTAGTAACAGTCGTTTTATTCTTGAATGATTGCAAGAAAATAAAGGTGCTAAAAATTTTAAGATATTGCAATTTTTCAGCATCGAATGGAGCAGCATCTCCTACGATCGACCGATACAGGTGAGGATTTATTAGATTTCATCTTCTGCGGTTTCTCTAGCCCATGAATGGTATCCGTTCGAAAATCTCTCGATGGTGCCCAATTGGTCATTCTTCGTCGAATATGCAATGCAATGCAATCCTTCACAACATTTTTCAGTGGAAGTGCTGTTATTTTAGAAATTTTTTTGGCTTCAATATCACCAGTAGAGCCCTAAGCGACACCAGATGGGGTCGGTTCAGTTCGCTCACAAATCATGATTTATTGCTACCATTCCAAATTTCAGTAGATCTTTGCGAAAATTGAAATTTCAATTGAATCCAAAATAAATCGCTAAGGAAAGACGTTTGAATTGTTCACGGATTGATCAGCCTTTACAGTCACAAATCTAGTGCATCGGATCACACACTGAACTGAGCATATATTGAAACATGGAGGAAGAGAACAGAAAAGATTATGCAATGGAGGGCTGAGATATGAAGCAAAGAAGGCATTTGATGAATTGTTTCTGAGCGCGATATGCGTTATATGCAAATACAAATGATGAATTAATTCTTCATTTGCAGTTCATCTTTGAATTGATTTCAATGACAAATGAGAGCGAAATATCTCTCACTTGGATTGAGTTGACTGCTTGAAACGCTTTATTTGTCAGTAATCAACCAAATAGTAAGCCAAAATAAATCAGTTCAGTTTTAAGACGTTTTTCGTTTGGTCATATTACTACTCAAAACCAAACCCTCCCAAATTACACGATGCTCATTGTTTGTTTGCCATCTTGTTTGCTGTTTGCTCATCACTATCGAGAAAGATCTTTTGGTCGGTCTATCGGTCAAACGCACTCAATAAATCATCCAATTCATGCTTATATCTTATATTATCCTTCAAAATTCTTGGACAATATTCAAATTGCCCTCGAGAATTTATGATATATATAATGACTTCTTCAGTCCACGCTGAATAATTTTGTAACTAGAATCAACTGAATTCACTGATAAAACATGATTTATGGCTTATTGAATTTCAAAAGATTTTCACAAAAACTGATATTTCAATTGGAATTGGAACAATTGACAGTAAAGGGCATATGAAACTACCGTAACGTTTGAGTCTTTAATCTGTTTCATTGGAATGTAATCTCCAGACCATAAATCATTTTTACATCTATGGTATCAATCGTCCATTTGAATTGGTGTTTAGAAATTGATTCAAAATCTCTTTTTTGCTCTCGTTACTAGGTATGGACTTCTTCAAAGGGCATCTTTTCCACTCATTCATTCGGTTTTGGATGGGAATGGGCGGTCATTTTAAGAGATTTATGGCTTATATTAGTTCCTAGTGAGCATGATGGTGAGATGAGTGTTCATCAAAAGCTATAATGTTATGGTGGTAGTGTGCATTTTGATTGGCGTGATGATTTATAGTTGCAAAATGAGCAGCATGCAATGCAAGAATGAACTAAATGCGGTAGGTAGGTAGTTACAGCAGAGCACATTCCATAGATTCTGATGGATTCTGAAGCTTTGTTTGTTCACGTTTGATTTACGATCATCTCAATATCGAATCGAATAGCAGTGGCGAGAAATTTCTTTTTGAGAAGGTTATTCAATGTGACCATCAGTATCGAAATATGAGTTGTAATGTGACATGTTGAATACCATCATTTACCTACAATGAATTTGAGAACTGAGGTTCTGATGATGTAAAAAAAGAACGCTAGAAATGAATGTTTTTGTGTGAAAGTGGTTTCAATTCTGGCGAATGAGTATTGTTCCGTATGAAATCGTGAGAATCTGTGAGAATTTGATGATATTGGTTCATTTTGAATAAATCCACGTGCTGAAGTTTGGCTGTTTGTTACTTCTAGAATTTTTGGTCGAAATGTTTCCGCATCAAATTTTAAACCCTATCCGATTGTGATTTCCGGCACATCGGTCATTTGATGTGCTCTCGCATAAGAATTGATCCCGGTTGTGTTTCAAAAATGTTCTTTTCCGAAACATTAACGATATGAATAATTGAATGGCAAGCCAGATTGCTTTTTGTTTAAGAATTTAGGCGGCTTAAGAATGAAGGAATGAATGAAACGAAAGTGCGAAATGACCAAAATAGAATGCGAGCAAGAGCAACTTGTCAATTTGATTCATACGATTCGGCTTCTTTTAAGCCTCCAGAGATTTGAGGCCGTACACATTTCCGAGCGAGTAAACGCACCGAAAAAATCCACTATTTGTCTGTAAATGATTTGTTTCAGTCGAGTAAGTAGTTTCGAATCTAGCAAGATGCTATGCTGCTATGCGAACATAAATTCATACGATGCAATAAAAAAAATGGTAAGAAGTAAGCAATAAATGTCCTTTGTATAATACATGATCTGAAATGCTTCAATTCTATCTAAGATTATGCAAACCAATTTCGAAACCAAAGATAACAGCAAGGAAAAAACTAATCATTCATGCATGCCTTGAGAGGCAATTCGTTCAACAAATAGCACTTTGCGTTGATTTGGAAGATGAGCATTCCATGAATGCAACTGTTTTGCTAATAAGTTGAATTCAAAAATTTTTAATTCGAATAGAGAATTTGATGTGAACAAATAGCTTCTCCGATTAGCTAATTCCTTGCCGAAAAGGAATTAATTACCTGTTGAAGCAGTTAAAGATCAACATTTTTTGGAGTGTTGAGTCGAAAAAAAAGCATTCATCATTGGACATCAGCCTACAGCAAGCAATCAGAAATCGCTGTGTTGAGTTTCTTCCTCATAGCTCATCTATCTTCACCGATATGATAGCCAAACAATAAAGTTCATCGTAATGAGGGTGAATGCTGACAGAAATGTTTTGATAACTAACATTTAATGGTTNTAGCTGTCTGTGTAAGTGATCAGTTAAGATTGCACTGATGAATGAACCATAATGATTTGCATAGACACGTGAACATGTTGGCTGAAAGCAATCATCCATCTGCTCTCAGCATTACAATATTTTGAAAACTTGAAATTCAGTTGAATCGTTTTTGCCTTGAAATGAGACTTCATGCTGAGAACATAAAGAAAGCTTTTGGATAAAACTGCACTCTTCTTTGATTGTTCAAATCAACGCACCCAAATCACACGCAACTTCATTCCATCCAAACAAAAGAAGTTCTAAATGAAGCAAACATTATGAATACAATAATAGTCAGAAAATTTGATGACATTTTGATGATGCACTCACACAATGCGCTCTCTTTTTTCATGGTTGTTTGCCGAAACTGAAATGCTCTTATGTACTGAAAATATTTGGAAAACGTTAAGAATGGATGCAAGATTTGTCACCAAACAAGCAAAAAATCCATTGAATAAAACATTTTCGTTGTTTGAGAGAGTCCCAACGCATAATGTCGATTCTTTCTTCATCGAATGAAAGAGAACAGTCCACATTGTTAGAATTCGAACATTGAAGTGTAGTTCCTTGAAGAATGAAAAAATTTCTTTCAAGCTTTGCAAAACTTGATTAAAGATCATTATGTGCAACAGCAATATTTTTCTAGTGGTCAATTTTTCAACTTTCCTGGACTTCGACTAACTGCAACTGTTGATCTTCGTTCCAACCCATTCGTCATATAAGTGTTTCGATCTGACTGAGAGGTAATGCGCAATCAAAAATTTCCATCATCCAACTGTGTTTTAGGTAAATGGCTTTTAGCAGATACACACTGTAGAACTTGATCACAATTGCTGAGTTCTACCGCAGAATTTTCTTAAAAACAATCAAAACGTTCAGATTTTTCAGCTTGATAAAAAGTAAAATATCATATTTTATCATCATGTCATTGATAATCTGAGGATTATTTGTAGAAGAGTCCATGCATACAGGCATAGGGGAGGGCTAAAAACGACTTGAAAGTGTGCATTGAAAAAATTTGTTGTTATAAGATTAGCCTTCGAAGAGCCACGCCTTTAGAATATGCCTATCGTGGGCGTACGACGTATCAGCTTATAGCTGCATTAGTTCCGAAAATGTGCACATCCGAGCGGGCCGTTTGGCTCGCGCAGAACCCTATCCAGCTATTGGCTATCGCCATGCTACAGACCGCCTTCGCCGCTGACAACTTGTAAGTGTTACTGTTTTTTTCTGCGCCTCAATTTTGATGCCTGAACTGTAAGGAAAGCAAGAAAATTGATACTGTTTGAGTGATATTTGTGAGGTTCAGAAAGGACTTAATAGAAATTTCATGCAGAAAAACTGCGCTCAGCGTTCATGAAAAATGTTCATGAAAGAGATTCAAAGTCGTCTTTTTATCAGAGAATCGCAATGTTGATCATCATGTTACCTCACAATCATTACTGTCCGTTCAAATTTGATGTTGTGTGATTTGAGCAGCCAACAGATAACAACCACTACTGGAGGCATATTCTCTGAAAACCTGCCGATCTTTTTTGCTATGGTCTACCAAAATATTGAAAAATCAGAGATATTGCTTGTGAACATGAGAATGAAATCAGCTAATTGGAAGAACTGCTTCAATCAGCTGTCTGTGAACAATAGTTCATGATGATGCATTGAATCGCTTCTTACTGTACCATAAACATTCACACGTCATGTTCAAATGACTAATCCTTGAGTACTTTTGAGAGTCTAGAGTATCAACTGGCGCCGTATTAACGGATTAAAATTGTCTTGTCTTTGTTGTCCTCGTCTGTAAGCTGTTTACGAGATTCGCTTATCACACTCTCCAAAAGTTTCCTCAAAGAACGCTTATCACGCTCAAAAGAACGCTTTTTAAGAGGTGCCTTATTTGATTCCGCATTAACGTGTTCCATGTGCAACAGGAATAAGATTCCATTTGAATGAATAATCACACGTTTACCGACCGACTTGTAATCAATGAGAACCTTTGCAGTTGTGCTTATTGAAACCAGCTTCACTGTAAACAGTGAATGAATGGTACAAAAGTATTCCATTGATCAGTAATCTGATGTTGATTTAAACTTTAAGTTTCTATTTGAGAAAAGTTCTGACTTTGCAAATAACTGACGAATGCTTTGATAATAGAAGAAGGCCATCGATTCGAAAATTCTCCTCGTTGCATTATCACAACACAACTCCTACCGCATTTTGATTCCTTAGAGTAAATGTGGTCGCTTTGAGCTCATCAAAGGAACGGACATCATTCTGTCGTAAATTTGATAATCTGAGTTGTTAGTTCTGCTCTCCCAGATCCTCTCTATCATTCTGGATGTCTAGGGTCCAGAAATCCTTCTGGAAGTAGAAGACATATGGAAAAATACCTCAGTCACTAGAAGTTTTCACCAGCGAAATCTTATCAATAATCATTGTTGTTGGATGTTTGGTTCCTGGATGGTGTTCACTGTGCATGACGTATCCATTCAATTCAGTGTGCCTTGTGGGCGATGTTCAGTGTGATGATGGAATGAACGCAACAAATTATCGCAGTTGCGACATCTTTTATTGATTCATCGAACATTTGAAAAACATTTCATTCGTTGAATACAACCACAAAATTACATCTTTTTTGATGTATTCACTTCTTCTCGAGTACTGATCTGATCATCAATCACTTTAATTGATCGCTTTCCATTGTTATTTGGTTCTTCATCTGAGAATTTATGCGATGTTTTCACTAACAAGAACTTCCTTTGTACTATGGAGAATAAGCGGAAGATATTGTCATTAAGCAACTATTCGTATTCAAAATTTCACATATTATCTGCATTTACCTTTACGATTCAATCAAATTCGTTGAAAAATTTCCCAGCAATAATTGTGTCATCGCAAAATTAGGTTGAATTTTGTGGCCCTACCTTAAGGTCAATATTTGCACAGTCATTCACTTAATTGGATGATAAGATTCGCTGTCAAAGAACAGTGATCGATCGCGGTTTCGTTTGATGAGGTTATTGATAACATTAGAGGAACCTGTTCAGTTTTCAGGATGACATTGATAATGAATAATTTATGTGATAGGGTGTTATCAGCACCTAGTCGTAAAGTTATAAATTATAAATTTGCCTCGCTATTTACTCGGGATGACAAGGTCATCAGTGTGTTTGTCGAATTTACAACTGATCACCTTTGACAAGTATGAGANATTCACGTGTTGAAACTCCATATGAGTTTTCATGATAGAGCATTAGTGCTTTCGACGTTCGAGATCAAATCTGAGTTGCTTACGAAAGCCAGCCTCGTAGAAGGAAGATGGAAAATAGCTCTCATGACTACCTTCGATGTAAGTAAATGAACGCTTGATTATGCGGATTAAAGACGGATGAAACTGGATTTTTCCGGTCAGCAATTTATTAAACATTTCAAAGTTGCGTAAAGGGCAGATACATCGTGTGCTAGCCGATCGAACGCAATGCAACATCGAACAGCATATTGAATGTTGATCATCCGTATGTGATGATGGTGGTGTAGAGAGGATTTGAAGAGGCTGTTTATTGGAAGCTCTTAAGTCTTTTGAAGCTTCAAGATTTAATGTGTCTCTTTTGCGGTTCAAATACAATAAATGAATACACGGATGAATGCTGAATGTTAAATGCGCCTTGAAACAATTGTTTATTTCATCTTGCCCATCCACCCATTCATTCACCCAGTACTTATTCAAATATTGCGATATTCTTTCGATTAACGCTTCACTGAATTGTTATAAATTACTTATCGTTAATATTGCATAATGGCTTCATACTACGATTTGAGTCGCAAAATTCCTTCCCTACGGAAGCAAATTCAACGAGGATTTTGCTCTTCGCAAGAACAAAATGCAAACTTTTATAATTTAGAATTCCAGATCGACATCTTCGACGTTGAATTAGAATTGAGAAGTTTGAATTTTCGCTGAATCAGATATTGATGTCTGAGTTGCTTTGCTACCATATTCAATTGAGGAATGCCAATAGCGAATCCAAAAATCCTTTGGGATAGAAACATAAGTAGAAGGAACAAAACATAGGATGGAAAAAAGTAACAGCGCACGTCTAAACAACAAATATTTCACAGACTGTGATAGTCTTCGATAATAAATGAGAAAACTGAAAAAAAACATCAAAAGGAACGGGAAAAACGATGATATGCCTAGGAAAAATCAAGAAAAGAACGACTATAACATGAAACCCGGAAGAAGATTTCTGACTGATCAATGAATTTATGGTGGAGACCGGGGAAGACAGCTGAAAACGATATTAAATTTGCAGTTACGTTGCTCAAGCTCCGTTCGGTCAATGGCGAGATGATTCAGCGCAGCGAGATTCACTCACATTCAATAATCCGGTTGGTTCTGGAATGGCGCAGCCGAGGTTAGTGATGATTCAATCAAGTATTTGGAATTTACGGTATCGCATTCCAATTGAATAATTCTCTCGCTTCCATACTCCTACGTCTCAGCAAAATTGCAATGTGCTCTCGTCAGAACAAAAAAAAACATTCTCTGCAAAAAAATAACAAAATTTGCCATTATGCTTAGGTTTTTTGTCTCTTTTGCTAAAATTGGAATTTTCGATTGAAACATTTGATGTGATACGTGCGGATGGATAAATGTTTCGTCTCGCACTGATAATGAGATGCAAACTTACGCAATTTAATCTGCTGACAAAAATGTTGGTGCGATAAGTTTCTTGCAAGAGCCATTTGTTATCGTGCATAAAGTCATCATGGATTTAGCGCGGACGCTTAGATGTTGATTTTGTCGAAGTGACTAAATCAAGTCAACCGAACGAACAGAAAAATGAGAAAAAAATCAACTGAAGGCACAATTAAATCAGTGTTTCCTCTGTTGCATTTTTTTTGGCAAATGAAATCGAATTTTGAAGACGATTCATTCAGAGCAATTTATGGAAGGAACAAGCATTACTCCGGTCTCATTCCAACGCGAAATGTGTGATGGATTAAGGAGTCGCTAGAATATAGCGAATATTTTCGTGAAATTTTGTTACTGATGAGTCCATTGGGATGATCATAAACCAGAGGCTAACAAACTATTTGTTTGCTGAGTGAATTCAACAACATCAATATCAACATTTTGTCTATTGCAGTTTTCTAACAGATTCTAATAGATCTGAGGAATTGATTGCATTTCTGCTGTATTAGGGAAGAACTTTTTTTGTGCTTATAATTATCAAAGGAATTCTAATGAACCGTGTTTGCAGCGGTGCTTGATCTCTGCTTCCTTCTCACTCCCCATTTGATTCCCAAAGGCGCAATACTTTATTTGAGTGGTTCAATGAACTAAGATAGTCTTAATTCCATCTTCTACAGCCAACATCGTTCGTCGACTAACGGAGCAATTTGCATATTATAGTCTTTCTGTATAGTTTTAGAATTCACTGGAATTGTTCGATAATTTCTGCGTTGAACTTCGCAGTAGTGGAATGTTCAGAGTTTTGAATTATCACTGATTCATGAACAACTGCTGAGAGAGTTTTGGAAAGAGCATTTGAAAAAAGTCGATGTCGTGAAATACGATTCATACACAATAAACGAGCAATTGAGCGTGATTCTTTGGCGATTTTCGAAATCGATCAAAAACTTTCAGTTTATTGATCAGATCAAATCAATCGGATAATCATTTTGTTTGCAGGTTTTTCCCCGGCCAATGGGGTCCATGCTCAACGACGTGTGGTCCTGGCGTATCGACCAGGACTGTGGAATGCGTAGCTGTGCAAGGAATCACCTCAAATATTATCAAGTTGCCAGATTATGAATGTGAAGGTATACTCCTATCGTCAAATGACAAATTTCGTCTAAAATTCAAATCTTGTAATCTTTTCGGAAAAAAGTTCCACCTGCCTGCCGAATTTCAGGAACTCCGAAACCGAGTTCCTTCCAACCGTGCCAAATTCGCCAATGTCCACTGAGCGAATCGGTTGGTGATCCACCAGAACGAGAACGCACATTTAGTTCGTCTCGTGGATTCAAATGGGATTATGGCGATTGGACGACGTGTTCAGCTTCGTGTCTAGGAGGTGACTATAGCATGAATTATCGCAATCGAATAATTTGAGTTGTAAAATAGATCTATCAGTTTACAACAATGACAATCTTATTGCTGTTTTCTTATCAATCCAAGCATCTTGAAGGCCACAAATTACGTGCTACCAACAGCTCAAAATTATTTGAAATCGTTGATTAATTGTGACATAATATTACAATGAGCTGATTATTTACGACATGTTC